GAAGTCCTCCAGGCTTAAAGTGGCCAAGGTTGGAGACCCCTGATGTAGCTCATCTAGTCCAATCCCCTGCTTGAGCTAAAGACCTATGGCTGGACAAATGGCTGTCCGGTGTCTTCTCGAAAACCTCCACAACTATGAATCTATCTAGTAGTATCTCTACAGTCTCATCTTCCCTTGATATTTATTTGTCACTGAGAACACCTACTGCTTTCCTAGTTTCCAGATTCAGAGACAAGAAGTTTTTCAAACAACTGCAAATTAAGCAAACTATAAGGAAAAAAGGCAGGATGTGTGATATGGGAATTGCCTGTTCCAGAAACTCTGTAGCTAGCTTAAAATTAAATCTATTGACCATTTGGCTTTGAATTAAGTTAAATAGAGGCACATTCTGTCTTCATTCTCCTTGTATAATTCAGCTTTGTGCGTAAAATATGAGCGCTTTTCGCTGCTTTGTCAGTTTCTGGTGTGTTATTGGCTTGTTTAACCAACTAGAATTAAACTTCACATCGAATCTACTTCATACTCAGGGACATAATCAGAGTAGGTTTAGATCTGATTTTGCACATCTGTAATTAGCTTAAGGGTCCAGAATAATATCTCTGCATAATTTCCAAATTCATCTGAATTAAAGATAAAGGAGATAACAGTCGGTTTAGAATTATTCAAGGTCAGATGTGGAACCAGAGATTGGAAATGAGAATTTAACTAGAAATGCTAATTTTATTCCAAAAGGAAGTCTGACAATTTTTTGAATTGGCGCAATAAACGTGTTTCATTACACATGTTCACTTTATCTAGGGGTTCATTCTTTAAAATCAGATTTTCATTGCTGGATAATCGTGCATTTTTTTTAAAAAAAAAAAAATCTTTGTATCTATTCCTCTCTTTCCCTTTTAGGTATTTTGCATGTCCTTTGGTGGTTTTTCCCAACCGTATCAATTTTAAGATGGGTCGACTTCAACTCCCAGTATTCCCCAGCCAGCCATGCCTACTGGGGAATTCTGGGAGTTGAAGTCCACCCATCTAAATTTGCCAAGAAACACTGTTCTTCAGAGAGAGCAGGGGTCCCCAACCACCGGGCCCCGGACTGGTACCGGTCTGTGGAACATTTTCTACCAGGCCACCGGTTTGCTGGGCGCTGCCATCTTGTTTTGATGAGAAAGTGCTTCCGGTGAGCTTTTCCTGTTGGAAAGTGGCGTTTGGGTCCTGAAGGAATCCTCGCGCCTTAGTTTCATCGAGGGGGGGGCGGCTTCGAACAAAACTAAGGCGCGAGGATTCTTTCAGCACCCAAGGCAAGGTGAGCCGAGCGACCGTCCCGAAGCCGTCCCGAAGCCCATCGACAAAGGTACAAAGGAGGAGTTGAAGGTAGCAGGGAGAAGCGGGGGATGGCTGGCTGGCCAGTCACTCGTCTCGCCTTGCCATGCATGCTGATGCCGGTATTGGGCCGCGGATCATTTTGTGATGCCGGTACCGGGCCGTGGCACAAAAAAGGTTGGGGACCACTGAGATAGAGGATAGTAGGCAGAGCACGTAGCAAACAAAGGGGGTGGGGCTTTGATTTTGTGCTACCCAAGCACTGCCTCATTTATATGGGTGTCACCCTGGTTTTTCAGCTGACAGGGAAGAATTTACTCAAAATCTATTGGAGATTCTCAGTCTCTTCCAGGCCACAGTTGTCCCAAAGATGTTTCTTCAAGAGGCAACTGGGCTTTCTTGTTTTTCTTTGAAGATGTTTTGCTTCAATGACTTGGGTCTTGTAGCTCTGACTTGGATGGTGGGGAACGGAAGGATTTATATTTCTGGCAGAGCTGGTCATTTGCATTCTTAGAGAGTCATTAAAACCTCCAAGTGGCCTCAACATCTCTCTAAAAGAATGCAAATGACTAGTTGTCTGCAAGGAGTATAACTCCTTCCATTCCACACCATCCCCGTCAGAGCTGAAGAAGCTTCTCGGATGAGCAGTGAAATGTCTTCAAAGAAAAACCAAAAAGTCCAGTTGCCTCTTGAAAAAAAATAAAAACCACCCTTGGGATTGGCTCAAGGTCTTCCCAAGGAGCTTCAAATACTGAGGGGGACCTAGAACCAGGGTTTCAACACTCCTAGTCCCGCACCTTCAGTTTTGGACCACTTGGGAAATAAATCTAAAATCCAAACTCGTCTTAGAAAAGATTGGCGTTTTGTTTGTGCTACTATCCCTGAGCTGATTCAGCAACAATTAATCCAGTGTTTCTCAACCTTAGCCATTTTCTGAATCGTGGACCAACTCCCAGAATTCCCCAACCAGCTATTGGGGAATTCTGGCTGGGCAATTCTGGGAGTTGAAGTCCACCTGTCTGAAAGTTGCCAAGATTAAGAAACACTGAAACTACACCAGGGGTCTCGAAACCCGGCAACTTTAAGACTTGTGGACTTCAATTCCCAGAATTCTCTAGCCAGCATGCTCTCTGAGGAATTCTGGGAGTTGAAGTCCACAAGTTGCCAAGTTTGGAGACTCCTGAACTAGAGTGAAGCAGGAATGCCACCAAGCACAATCGGGTCTTTTAAATCAGGGGTCTCTAAAACTTGGCCACTTGAGGACTCGTGGACTTCAATTCCCGGAATTCCCCAGCCAGCTAGTTAGCTGCAGAATTCTGGGAGTTGAAGTCCACAAGTCTTCAAGTGGCCAAGGTTGGAGATCCTTGCTTTAAATAAATAAAGTGAAGATCCAAAGTTGAATCCAACCCTATTCAGATACAAACCAGTGACATAGAACCTCTTTCAAATTGGTATATTTCTGGAAGAAGAAGCTCAGCTGGATTTCTTTAGTATTATACCTGCCATTGGCTTTACACAAACTTTATACCCGCTGGTGTTTCCTTCGCTTTCCTTCCACTTCATTTGTAATCTGTCTTCTGAAAGGACTGTCAACTTCAGGCGGTTTGACCCTGCAGAAAACCAGCATTATTTTTATAAATAGAGTCAGAAAAATTGATGGATTTTTGGGGAGGGGAGTGCGGTGGCTATTGTGACTGCATCCTTCAGTGCCTTGTCTTCCTCCAAACATATAATTAGAGCTCGACTTGCAATCATAACTGACCCCAAAATTTCCATTGCTAAGCGAGATTGTACTAAGTGAGTTTGTCCCCCATTTTATGACCTTTCTTGCTGCTGTTGTTAAGTGAATAACTGCAATTGTTAATAGAATAGAATGGAATGGAATGGAATGGAATGGAATGGAATGGAATGGAGTGGAGTGGAGTAGAGTAGAGTAGAGTAGAGTAGAGTAGAGTAGAGTAGAGTAGA